AAAAATGTGGAAAGAATGGTGTAGAATGAAGAATGAAGCGTTCTGAGGTGTTTTGGAATGTATTTAGGGTTGAAAAGTCGTGCAAGATATGTTACCAAAGGAATTTGAGTCGTAGAAGGAAACTAAATATTCGTCTATGAAAAATGCCTATGCGCGAGCGCCATATATTTCCTTGCACGCACGCCATTCATTGGTTTTAGACTCGGTAAGTGAAATTCATGCCCATACACGCGCGAGAAACTTGCCTGCTCGTGCTCGCAGTTTTGTCTCTGAACAGCGTTCGGTATTTTAGTCATAACTTTCTTCACAGGTATCTGATTGAGCCGATTCAAAATGTGTTGGAAATATAACGCAAAGGGCTATAAATTTTCTTCAAATACCATCTTTGAATTCGATCTTTTTCCATGTCAACAACTGGTCCCAATATGAGGCTAAAAACTGGTGCAACATTTTCAGCTTGAAAGTTGATATGTGATAATGTTTTGGCTATATTTCATCCCTTTGATTCATTTCTTCATCCAATTGACCTCTAACACTCTTGAATCTTCATCACAAGGTTAGAAACAAGTTAGATTATTTTCACTTTAGTCCCTGAACTTTCGTTTTCCTCCATTTTGGTCATTTTTCACTTATTTCTCTTTATTTCTGCTGCATTCATTACCTGTCCTGCAAAACATGAATTGTATAGAATTAAGCTATATTTCAACATATTAATCAACAATTGCTCATATTTTGACAGTAAAATAAGTATGTAAAAACACACTTATCACAGACATTTCATTTTTATACAAACCCTAACTATACAATCTCTCAATTTCTCCCTCTTTCTCTCCTTGATCTCGTCTCTCTCTATCCTGTCCTTCCGGCGACTTGTCAACAAGTAGAAGAGGCTCCGACGATCACTCGGATATTGGGAGATCCCACGCCTACTCTTCTTCAAAGCATATGACAACTAATGCAACTCCTTGTAAATTCCCAATTCTCCTGGAACCTCCCGCACCAATAAATTCAACCAAAATTTAGCCCTAGACGCCGCCGACAATGAACATAAATCACAAGCGCTCGTTGGAAAAAGTTGTAACTCATCAGAAATTTCTATTATATTTGTTTTCAAGATGGAGAAATTGAGAGTTGAGAGCGAGTTCCTGTGGGTGGAAATGTTGGTGTCTTGTTCGTCGGCAGCGGCATTATTGTTGGTAGTAGAGGTGGTGGTGGAAGTTATGGAATCACCATCTGCGACGGTGATGATCGGAGTAATTCCCATTGTTCGGTGGTAATCAATTTCATAGTCCCACGTGCTAGAGTCAACTGATACTGCTGCCTCAATATTCAAATCTTGGTGGTGGTGGCTATGAGCTTGGCGATAAGTTGTTGAGGTTTTTTTTGATGGTGCAATTGGAGGTTGGTGATGGTGTAGACGATGGCAGCGAAGGTGGTTTTCTCATCTCTTCTCTATTCTTTCTTCACTACCATCTCTACACTCTCAAATCGAAACTGTCGCCGCCATCGTCGTCGTTGCAGGATGGTGATTTTAATGATTTTTGGGCGATGATTTTGTTGATTTTTGGGAGGCGATCTGGTGTTTGGGTGACTGTTGGATGGTGACGGTAGTTTTGTTGGTGGTTGTGTTGACGAGGAGGTGGTGTTGGTTGATTTGAAGTTGAAGATTTGTTGGAGGTGGTCGGGGGCGATGATGGTAGGGTTGGGAATTTTTTTGGGTTTGTAGGATGGGGGTGGTGGTGGTTCCGACGACGGGTTTTGGTTACCATGCTGTTGGTGGCAGTGGTGAAGTGGTAGTCATAAGTGTTTGTGGTGGTCACATATTATTTTGGTTGTTTGTGACAATTAAATTGATTAATGTGACCGATAAACAAATTGTGATTAGTGAAAAAGATAAATTGTGACCAAAAAATAATGTGTGACCTAAAAATTATTAATTTGTGACAGATAATTTGATAATTTGTGACTTATAATATTTGTAACTTGTGACCAATAAATAATTGTGACGTTTCAATTTTTGATTTGTGATCGATGAGAAAATTGTGACTTATAAATTTTTTGAATTGTGACGTTAAAATAATTTGTGATATATAAAATTTGTGATTTGTGACCAATAAATAATACGTGACTTGCTAATTTTATAAATTTATGATCGATGAAGAAATTGTGACCTATAAAATTGTCGATTTGTCATTATGAAGTAATTTGTGACCTATAAAATTTTT